AAGAATTAGCAATTTTGTGCACCCCATCTGGGATTATTTTGGGTTTTATTGCACATTGATTCACCCTGACGCCGTGTCACTACAGGGAAAAATATGTAGTTTTCTTGGCAACCCTTTTGGAAGTGGTTTGCTTTCTAGGGCTGAGAGATCGTGACTGGACCAAAGTCACTCAGATGGCTTTGTGTCTAAGGCATGATTAGAATTTGCAGCCAGTAGTGAAAATTAAAACATACAAAAATTTTGAGGGTCAGCTTATCTATGAGTAGTGAATTTTTCATGCTATTTTAGTTTAAAAATGGTTTGGCTCATCCATGGATAGGCTTATCCATGAATATACATTGTAATTTTTTCATATCTGGAAAGCATACCTCAGCCAATTTACTACTGACTTACAAGCCTTAGTTCTATAGGCTGGATTCTGGCTATTTTCTATCTGAATTTTACTTGCTTAAGTTTAATAGATTTTAGAGCCAAGTTAAAGTTAATTCCTTCCTTAAATTGGGTGGAATAAGGAATGCTACTGAAATGCAGATTGAGCCTCACTTAACATTATGATGAACAAATGAGTGGGAAATATATTTGAAACATTTTAGAGACATTTTACATTTACCCTTCCAGATAAATATAAAATGTCTCACTCCCTTTATTTCCTTCCCACCTCATCTCCCAACTCCACTGAATTTTTTTCTAGAATCAGAATGGTTAACTGCTATGTAATACTTAACTGTGGAAACTATTTATATTGGTTAAATCACTGTGTTGTCATCCATGGTGATTAGTCAGTTGCTCTGAATGATAAGCCTGGCATTTTGCCATCTTGCAATTATGCCTGAGATCTCTTTTTAATGGACAGTCCCATGATGAAGCATGATAATAGCCACATTATGTGTGTGAAGTACTGTATTTTGTATTCTAATTTTTGGATGTATATGATGCACTGTAAGCAAAGCTCTTGCTTATTTAAAATCTAGTGCAGTCGTTCTGGCTTTTTCTGCAGGTTCCAGACTATATTATTCCAATGCACTGAAATCAAGGTAGCCTTTGTAAATATTGAGTCATTACAGAGATAGTAGTGAGTCTATGCGTTGCACTGATCTTCATCAATTTCATTACTTTTAAAGGAGTATGTTAAGGTACAATGTTAAGAAGCTTGGTCTTCAATTGTTGAATCATGAAGTTCAAAGTGGTTTGGAACCAGGATGTTTATAGGAGTGCCATTTTGATCCACCTAATTATTAAAAACTCTTTTCTAACTGTACTCATTATTGAAAGGCAGGGGATGAATAGTCACCGTGAAGATAATTTTTTCAATATTTATGCTTTAATAATAGACTGCTCCTCCCAAGCAGATTATCATCATCATCAGTATCATCAACTAAACATTATTAGACTTGATTTTATTCAAGAGTTATGTTAATTGTTTGGATGAGTTTGTCTTCTGTTTCAATTGCTGACTATATTTAGGTTGAATTATTGTGTACATTCATTTGTAGTTTGTTTCATTTTTCATATTTTTATATTGCCTGTCAGTGACAACTGTGGTATTAACTGATGGAGGAAAATCAGGCTATGTGGAATAAATGAATTGCGTGTGCAATTGCTGAACTGGAAGATTGATTTATTAGAATTAGAATTCTTTTATTGGCCAGGTATGATTGGACACACAAGGAATTTGTTTTGGTGCAAATGCTCTCAGTATACATAAAAGAAAAGATATATTTGTCAAGAATCATAAGGTACAAACACTTAATAATAGTCATAGGGTACAATAAGCAATCAAATCATACTAGGAAACAGTCAATATAAATTGTAAAGATACAAGTGACAAAGTTACAGTCATACAGTCACAAGTGGGAGGGGATGGGTGATAAGGAGTGATGAGAAGATTAATAGTAATAGTAGTGCAAACTTTGTAAATAGTTGGACAGTGTTGAGGGAATTATTTGTTTAGCAGAGTGATGGCTTTAGGGAAAAAAACAGTTCTTGTGTCTAGTTGTTCTGGTGTGCAGTGTTCTATAGCATCATTTTGAGGGAAAGAGTTGAAATAGTTTATGTCCGGGATGTGAGGGGTCTGTAAATATTTTCACAGCCCTCTTTTTGACGCGTGCAGTATACAGGTCCTTTATGGAAGGCAGGTTGGTAGTAATTGTTTTTTCTGCAGTCCTAATTACTCTCTGAAGTCTGTGTCTGTCTTGTTGGGTTGCAGAACCAAACCAGACAGTTATAGAGGTACAGATGACAGACTCAATAATTCCTCTGTAGAACTGTATCAGCAGCTCCTTGGGCAGTTTGAGCTTTCTGAATTGGCGCAGAAAGAACATTCTTTGTTGTGCTTTTTTGATGACATTTTTGATATTAGGTGTCCATTTTAGGTCATGTGATATAATAGCACCTAAAAATTTGAAGGACTCTACTGCTGATACTGTGTTGTCTAGTATTGTAAGAGGTGGTAGTATGGGAGGGTTTCTTCTAAAGTCTACCACCATTTCTACAGTTTTGAGTGTGTTCAGTTCCAGATTGTTCCGGTTACATCACGAGGCAAGTTGTACAATCTCCTGTCTGTATGCGGATTCATCATTGTCTCAAATAAGGCCAATCACTGTTGTGTCATCTGTAAACTTCTGTATTTTAACAGATGGATCATTTGAGATGCAATCATTGGTATATAGGGAGAAGAGAAATGGAGAAAGCCTTGGGGGGAGGCTGTGCTAATTGTATAGGTATCAGATGTGATTCTGCCTAGATTCACCTGCTGCTTCCTGTCTGTTAGGAAGGGAATTATTTTTTCATCTTCACCTGCTTTGTTTTCATATTTTCATGTGCTAGAAAGCAGAGGATGAAAAGCAGAGTTATGAGCTTGCCTAAACATTTAAGCTTCTCAAAATGTAAATATTCCAGAAGAATATTTGTTATTAACTAATAGTTTGTCTGCAGATGAAAGTATTTATTGTCTAGTTACGCTCACCTGCACCACACAGCACAATGCACTGTAGTATAAAACTTGAAGATTATAAACTTTTGATGAGAAAGTTTCCTTTAGTCTATGTCATTTTGCAAGTAAACTTGCTTTTTTCTCCCTTTTTTGTTTTTTTACAAGCTGGACTTCAAGGTAAGCAGACTGGGATGGGCTTTTTAGGTCTTTTCATGTTGGTTTGTGGAAGCTTTTATTTCGATAATTTTGTTTACTTTATGTACATTATTTCTGATCTGTCTTGCATACTACTAATGTCTATAGTAATTTGAATGTAAAAGATAATGATAATAATAGAAATTCAGACACTCAAACCGATGCAAATTGCAAAGCTATTATCAATCCTGTTACTAGTGAACACATGCTATATACAACTGTTTGAGTAGATGGGGTTCACTTTTACAATTTGAGATTCTGGTTTTTTTTAACACTGAACAAGCTTAAATTCAGGCTGAGTGACAAGCATATGTAAAAATAATCTAATTCTACTGCACAAAACCGGACCTAGCTTTAAAAAGAAATGCAAATCAAATAAAAAGATCTTCCAAGCCAAATAGCTTTCATCAGATAGCTCTAAAAACAAGTATGATCCAAGTGTAAATAGTCTTGAGGCCACTAAAGGAAAAGAGAGCACTTAAAAGTACAAGATCAGCAGAAAAAAATTAATGATGCTGAATTTTGTTATGAATGTCATTTAAATGAACAGGCAATTTCAATGTCAAAAAATATTTTCAGGATATTAGAACATGACCTTGACAAAAGAAAGGCATCTCAGTGGGGGACTTTTGGGACAAGGAGAAAAACTCAGATGCTGTAAATCACAGGGACCGGGGGAAATGTAGAAAGATTTAGGCAGAGTCAAAGTATATAAGATGGAGCAGGGTGCAGAAAGCAGGGAATAACAAAGACATTGATTGAGCTACACTTATGGCCCAAGCAATGATCACTAAGGCTGAAATTCAGGGTCTGTTATTTAGAAGTTGAAATTAATATGACCGCTTTTTCCAAATGCTGTAATATAAAGAATTCTTTTTAAAAAAATCAAAATATGATTAATTCCGGAAAAGAAAAAAAGGAAATCAAGAGCACAGGTATATTAAATTGGGTTTAGAGTGCTATCTAGACCAGTGGTGACTAACCTTTTTGGGTTTCTGTGCCAAAAATTGCACATGCACCAGCACGCATGCATTTGTGTGCCAGCACCCAGAATGCAATGCGTACCTCCTCCCCACGCCCCCTGTGCATGTGCGCGCAATCCCCTCGCCACCCCCTTACCTGCACTGTGCCTCACAGCTGATTTTTCGGCTGATTTGAGGCCTTTTTCGGCCTCCCAGAGGCTTGGAAAAAGCCTCTGCAAGGTTTTTCAGGCCGAATTATAGGCCCATTTCATCACTTCTGGTATTACAGGAAGTGACGAAACAAGCCTATAATTTGTCCTGAAAAGACTTGCAGAGGCTTTTTCCAAGCCTCTGACAGGCCGAAAAAGGCCTCAAACTAATCGAAAATTTTTAGCTGTGAGGCGCATGCATGCGCAGTGAGGTAAGTTTGCCTGCGGCTGGTGTGCCAGCACAAATGGCTCTGCCTCAGGACTAGGTTATGTTATCAGGCCTGTGGTTCAAGGGGAACTGGAGACTTTCTTAAATGGCTTCGTTGCTGAGATGACAATCCTTATCCTTTCTTTACCTATGGTTTATATCCACTGCTGAATCAACCAATTTGCAATCTTAAAATTGATTATGATTCAAGATTTCACGACTGTTTTCACCAGTGCTATTATCAGCTACGTAGTCCCTATTTCTGTGCACTTTGATTTCTGCTTCTTAATCTGTGTTAAAATGTATTCTGTTATTTTCAACCAACTATCTTAACCTATCAAGATTGCCCTAGAATTGGGGAAAAAAATCCTTTTATACCTGTTAGAATGTTGTTTTCTTTTGAATATTTGGCTACTGTTTGTTTTCTTTTTACTATGAATACATCTAAAGGGGTTATTCTTATCTTCTTCACCAATTTAATTCTTTCAGAACTTCAGCCATCCATCTCTACAACTCAGGGCTATATTTATTTGCCTTGATTAATTCTCTTTGCTTTTTTTTCTTTGTTGGAATTGCTTGTGCTAATGTATCAGTATCTTAACATTCACTCATCTAGAAAACTCTATTCATAAGGTTCTCCTTCCATAAAATACTATTTATTGTTGCTTCATTTTCACTGAAACCTGTTTTTTGCAGGGACAGGTGCTGATTGCCAATCTCTGCAATAGATTACAAATTGGAAACAGATTTCCAATTTCCAATAAAATAAAGTAATAATTCTGCAGTAAATATATATATTTATTGGTAATATTCTTGCCACTATCATTTCTAACCCAACCCTTAACAAATTAAAACAAAGCAAAACAAAAAACAAAACAAAACTTGGAATTGTTTGAGAAAACAGGAAGTATTCTAAGAATTGAAGTCAAGAACCATCTGGTTGCAGAATATCAATAACTTAAATGGATATCATAAAAGGAAACACACATGCGTAGAAGTTCTCATTGAATGGCTCAGCATGATTATTTGGGAACCCTATGAATATATCCAGTTTTCCTGGCAATGATATGGAAGTTGTTTGTCATTGCTTTCTAATGTGTTTTGTTTCTAGGATTTAACAAAAAAAAATATGGATCTCCCATCTAAACAGTAACTAATTCGGAATTAGTTGAGCTGAACTGAGATCAGCCAAGGTCAGCTAGAGGTTCCCACCCATTCTCAGTTGTTCTAAGTAAGCTAGTTTTTAAGGTATTGGATCAGGTCAGATGAAGTTCATAGCTGCCTTCTGTTTATAAATAAAATGAAACATAAGGAGATTTTGGTTAGCAATATTGCTTTCTAGTAATAAGTTTAATCTGCATGCAAAGAAATCTCTTTAACATGAAAGCATTTTAACCTTTATATGCTGAATAAGCTATGGTAATTTTTAGATAATTACAGTTTCATGACTTGATATTATATAAACAGATTTGCAGCCATTTTAACACATATGACAATCAGCAGTACGATTCATGCTTTGTTGAAAAAAATGATTCAGAAAATGGACATATCTTTAGACTTTAAATTTAGGCAATTTAATAGCTCTCTGATCACTTATGTAAAATAAGTCATATTTTATTGCTGTTTTCCATATCCTTGACCTTTATGTCTTAACTGCATAGCACAGAAAGTGAGGGAGAAGCAACTTTCAAGGGCAAAAGTTAGGTAATAATATTAAATAGCCACAATGGGATGAAAGCAATGGATTAAACAGACGGGTGTTTCCCAGTGACCCTGAATGCATATTTAGCCATCATCTTCTTACAGACTCTGCTTTGGGTCTCTCTGCACTATATGTCATGGTCAAACTAAGGTGCTGACATGGATAATTTAGTGTCTGAGCTCTTTTTAACACAGGATATGGTGTTGTAATTACATGCTCCAGCATTGGGTCTACATTCCAAGAAAGGAAAAAATTGCACAAAGACTAATTTTATAGAGTTCAGGGCCTTTTCCCCTAGGCTAAGTATTAAAGGAATCAATATGTATCAAATAGCTATTACAAAGAGGCATTCAAAAATAAGTGGTTTCGATAAATATCATGCATTTTAGAACACAGATTGGTTTAGCCTTTGCTTATGTCTGTTGTTGCCGATATGGAACAGGGCACTGAAGGCTAAAACATATGAAGAATGGTTACAGGAATTGGGTATGTCTAGTGTAATGAAAAGAAGGACTAGGGGAGACATGATAGCAGTGTTCCAATATTTGAGGGGCTTCTACAAAAACGAGGGGATCAAACTATTTTCCAAAGCACCAAAAGGCAAGATGAGAAAAAAATGGATGGAAACTAATAAAGGAAAGAAGTATGGAGAAATTTCCTAATGGTGAGAGCAGTCAACCAATAGAACAGCTTACCTTCAGAAGTTATGGGTTCTCCATCACTGGAGGCTTTCAAGAAGAGACTGGACAATCATTTATCTGAAATGGTATAGGGTCTCCTGCTTGAGCAGGGGTTGGACTAGAAGACCTCTAATAAAAGGGACAGGGCAGAACAAGCCCACTTCCAAGCAAACCTGAATTCATTCTGGTCATCTCCAGACATGTATTCAATGAGTCACATTATACCTTCCTCTATGTATCCAGGTAATGTATATACAGTACAAATATAACTTAAAAGTTTTAATCCATATGTAAATTGTCTAGCCAATTAATTTAATGCAGCAACAGACAACTGTGCTACTGTATATCAATAACAACCCATCTTCACTATACCATCCTCAGTAAAGAAATTGAATACATTTCTAGTGAAGAAACGGGGAATGGAAATTGCTGTGAAAATTGAAATGAAGCTATTGGCTAATTTTTCAAATTCTATCTTCATGCAATTACCAAGTTCATATGTGTACATTACCCAATCACAAAACAAACATATCACAAAAATATATGTGATCCCAAAGAGGACAGTTTAAGGTAGAACTGCATGTTTACATGCTGTTTTCCAAAGGGCACGTTGAAAAGTTGTATGTTAACGCCACAACCTATCATCAGGAACCTTATTTGTGCACAAGCAATAATCTGGATTGAATTGTATTCCAGAAGTACAAATCAATCCAACAATAGATAATCAGGAGGAAAAAAAACATCCTTGAAGAATCAATGCAAAAATGGAAGGGTGGAATCCCAGATTTTTGTCCTCTCTTGGCATAGGAGCCAGCCGGTTAATCCTTCATACGGTGTTCTCTAGAGCAGTGATCCCCAACCTTTTTTATGCTGCGGCCCGGTACCGGCATCAGCTGGGCGCCGCGGCCCGGTACCGGCATCAGCTGGGCGCCGCCATCTTTTTTTGATGAAAAAGTGCTTCCGGTGAGCTTTCTACCCGGAAAAGCTCACCAGAAGCACTTTTTCATCAAAAAAAAGATGGCGGCGCCCAGCAACCAGCGGCCCGGTAGGACTTGTTCCGCGGACCGGTACCGGTCCGTGGACCGGTGGTTGGGGACCCCTGTTCTAGAGGAACAAGTTGGCTGAACAATAACACACCTCTTTGCATCTGGCATTGACAGGTTTATTGTAAGAAGAGCCCAAAACAAGTGGATCCTACATATGCTAGGAAAAACTACTTTGCTGACTGGATTTTATCCTGGAAGGTGTCATAAAATGTTTCGGCAAAGATAGTAAAAAACAAAAAACAAAGATGAGTCAATGCAGGGATTTGGAACCTCTTTACTCCCTTGATTTGAATGTAAATTAAAGCAACCCCCTCCTTGCTACTCAAATATCTGATCATAGATGAATCTATTTACAAAAGGGAATCAGAAACTTATATTATTTATTTAGAGTGGTGGTGGTTGTGAATAGTGTGCATTCCCTCCAGCTCTATCACCAAATCCACATTAAAAACATCCACTGATGAAGCACCCACAACTTCAGAGGCAAGCTCTTCCACAATAATTGTTCTGACTGACAGGAAATTTCTCCTTAATTCTAGGTTGGATCTCTCTTTGTTAAACTTCCATCCATTATTTCTTGTCTTCCCCTCAGGTGTTTGCAGAATTAGTTGACCTCTTCGCCCCCACCCCCCACCCCCGTGACAGCTCCATACATATTAGAAAAATACTATCATGTCACCCCAGTCCTTCTCTTCATTACACTAGACATTCCAGTTCTCACAACTGTTCATTATGCTTTTTAGTCTCCAGTCCCCTTATTATCTTTGTTGCTCTTCTCTGCAACCTTTCTAGAGTCTAAACTCCTCTTTTGTATTATGGTGACCAAAACTGGATGTAGTATTCCAAGCATAAAGTGGCATTAACACTTCACATGAACTTGATGCTATTCCTCTGTTGATGCAACCTAATCATGCATTTGCTTTTTTGGCAGCTGCAGCACACTGCTGGCTCATACTTAAGTGATTGTCCACTAGGACTCCAAGATCCCTCTCACAGTTACAGAGGAATCTCCAGTCACAACCGTAATCTGTTCCAGGACTTAGGTTGCAACCCAATTTGGTCATGACCGGAAGAAAGACTGACTGAGCATGCGCAGACAAAAAAAATGGTGTGAAAGGGGAAATCACTGCGGCAGGGAAAATCACCACATCTGTGCTTGATTGCCCCCACAAGGATGTGTTCACAACCAGAGTGAAACATTTAACGGATTTTTTGGTCGACCCAATTTGGTCGTGGTCAGAAGTGTTTGTGACCCGAGCTTCCACTGTACTTATATTGAGTAATGGAAGATATCAGACTCCATGTGATGTGTTGATTATCATTTACGGGCCTCCCACAAAAATGGTTTGCCCTTCTATAACAAACATTGACAGTAAATATTTTATAAATGAAATTGTTAAGTATGGAGAATAACAGAGACCAGACATCTGACCAGTGACTTCAACTCTTTAATAAAGTAATAGAACATAACAGAGCAACGCTATGGGCAGCAGTAACCCTTTTATAGGGTTAGCTGCTGCCTTATTAACCAATGAAAATGTGCAACAAGTTCAAACTACTAACCAATAAGAAAAGTCCCAAAAGTGGCCAATCAGGGGCTAGTTCTGGCCCAATCCCAAGTTGTTGTATAAGGACCAATCAAGTGTGCAGGTTTTCAACCCCTAATTTGTATTTAGGTTATTCACTTTTATTGATTCACAACACCCCTCCCCCTTGGGTTCCGTTTGAGGGGAGCTGTAATAAAATCCTCAAGATAGGCAGGCCGTTTGGTCTGCCTGGATGATTTCCGAGGCTCCACCGGGTTTTGTCTAATGTCCGGTTCCGGTGGAGCGTTTGGATGACCTTTGTTAAATTCTATTTCGCTGCACGGCGATTCCGTGCTGCATTCACTGTGGTTGTCTCTGCTACTCCGTGTTTCTTCGGGGTTTTGCAGTTCGTTTTCCCCCGTATTAAAGTTCCCTGAAAACGTCAACTCCCTCCCCGCTTCACGTTCCGGTGCTTTGCTGGGCTGTAGGGTTCCCGTTGACCTGCTATTAGTTGTATCAAAGTCAATTCCCTCGATACTTCCTCCCCCTTG